CCCCCCCATCTCTCTGATCTGCTACAACCGTATGTCCCACCACGTTCCCTGAGGTCAGCGGACCAGTTGCTCCTCACAGTTCCAGGAACTTGTCTTAAGCGCAGAGTGACAGGGCCTTCTCTGTAGCAGGACCAAGACTCTGGAACGAGTTACCTCTGTTTGTCAGACAGGCCCCCTCCCTCTCGGTTTTCAAGTCCCGTTTAATAACTCACTACTATTCAGTAGCTTTCAACACCAGATGATCTGTGTTTATATCCTGTATGCTCCACACTGGTTTGTCATCATTATCTGCATCGTTTTTATGTCTATATTCTGATTTACCTCATTTTGTATTTTGCTTGGTGTGTTACCTGTTGTTTTGTCTGCACAGCACTTTGGTTGGCCTTGTAGCTGTTTTAAGTGCTTTCTAAATAAAGTGGTATGGTATGGTATGGTAAGAGAGATTTGATGGTTTTCCAGAATATTTTATGGTCATTTAGATTTTTGGAGGTCTGAGATAAGAAATAGTTGCGTTTTGCTGCTTTAATGTCAGTTGTGCATTTATTCCTCATCTGCTGAAAACTCAACCAATCAGAATCTGAGCCAAATTTTCTTGCTGTGGCCTAAAGATGATCTCTCCTGTGCAGGAGGTCAGCTAGTTCAGGAGTAAACCAGGGACTGTCACGTCCCTTTGTTCTGAACTGACGAAAAGGAGCGTGTTTGTTTACAAAATAAATGAAACTATTATGAAAATAGTTCCAAGCAGTGTTCACATCATCAGTTAATAGAATACGATGCCAGTCAAAGTGAGATAGATCCCAGAGGAATGACTGTTTACAAAAACGTTTCAAATCCCTTTTTTGAATTAATCTGGGCTTAGTATGTGGTAGTTTAATATCTCTGAGAGCCGCTATTACACAATGATCACTCAAAATGTCAGCAAGTACACCTGTACCAGGGAATTTGTGAGTCATATTTGTTAGAAACGGTTCTAAGATGGAAGATTTTGCAGGACAGTTTTTGTTTGGTCTAGTGGGAGAGTCAATGAGTTGGGTTGAATTAAGTGACAGGCAATATTCCTTGAATTTATCACAGAGGGGGGTCGACTTATCCCAGTCAATGTTGAAATCTCCTGCCAAAAAATCTCTTTGAATTTTAAATTACCAAGGAATTCTATCAGGGAAGACAGAGCCTCGGTTGTTGCTGAGGGGGGACGATAACAACCCACTACAGATAAAATCTGGCCTCCATTCAAAGTGATGGTTACAGCTAAGGCATCAAACTGGTTTGGAATTGTTTTAGCATACTTCTTCTTCTTTCTATTCCTGTAGACTCCTGGTGGAGCATAGGGCTGCAACAACACCCCGCCAACGAACTCTGTTTTGGGCGGCTCTCTTCAGCTGGGTCCACGTCACTCCGGCGGCCTTCGCTTCACTCTCAACAGATCTTCTCCACGTCTGCTTTGGTCTCCCCACTTTTCTTTTTCCTTGTGGGTTCCAGTCCAAGGCTTGCCTTGTGATGTTTTCTGCTGGCTTTCTCAAGGTATGGCCTATCCAGCCCCACTTTCTCTTTTTGATGGCTTCACTGACCGGGCTTTGGCTGGTTTTTTCCCATAGTTCTGTGTTGGAGATCTTCTCAGGCCACCTGATGTTGAGAATGTGTCTCAGACACTTGTTTATGAAAGTCTGGATCTTGTTGGTGATGGTGTTGGTTACTCGCCATGTCTCGGACCCATACAGTAGGACTGCTTTCACGTTGGTGTTGAAGATGCGGATCTTGCTGCGCTGGGATAAGGCTTTGGAGTTCCAGATGGGTCGCAGAGTGTTGAAGGCGAGCCTTGCTTTGTTGATCCGGCTCCTAACATCTTCATCTGCGCCGCCGTCTATGCTGACCACACTTCCAAGGTAAACGAAGCGGTCAGCTTCCTTGATGGCTTCTCCCTGCAGCTGCAATGGTTCTTTCTTCTTGTTGTTCAGTCGCATCACCTCTGTTTTCCTGGTGTTAATCTTCAGGCCGGTCTTGTTTGCTTCCTCGGCGAGACGAATGAGCTTGGACTGTGCATGCTGTAGCGTGTGGGACAGAAGGGTGATGTCGTCCGCAAAGTCCAGGTCCTCCAATTTTTTGGTGAAGGTCCACTGGATGCCGGTGTTGGTGCCCTCTGTTGCTCTCCTCATGATCCAGTCCATGACGATCAGGAAGATTGTCGGTGACAGCATACAGCCTTGCCTCACTCCGGTCTTCACTGTGAAGGGGTTTGTCAGCTTCCCGTTATGGATGATCTGGCAGGATGAATCTTCATATAACTGTTGGATGATGCTGATGAGCTTCTGTGGGATTCCGTAGTGCTGCATCAACCTCCAAATGGTCTCCCTGTCGACGCTGTCGAAGGCTTTCTCGAAGTCGACGAAGGTCGTGTACAGCGGAGACTGCCATTCGATGGACTGCTCGATGATAATGCGCAGGGTGGCGATGTGGTCCGTACATGAACTGTCTTGCCTAAATCCTGCCTGCTCTGTTCTAAGTCTAATGTCTAGCGCCTCTTTCAGTCTCTCCAGGATGATTCTGGTCAGCACCTTGCTGGGGATGGACAGCAGCATGATTCCTCGCCAGTTGCCGCACTGGGAAAGGTCACCTTTCTTGGGCAGCTTCACGAGGTAGCCTAACTTCCAGTCGGCAGGTACCTGCTCCTCCTCCCAGATCTTCAGTAGGAGAGGATGTAACATCTCTGCTGCTGCTGCCGCGTCTGCCTTGAGAGCTTCTGGAGGGATGCCGTCAGGACCTGCTGCCTTGCCGTTCTTCAAGGACTTGATAGCCTTGGTGATCTCTGCCTTGGTTGGTGGGCTGGTGTTGACACGAAGGGGGTCCTCCGCTGGAGGTATGTCAGGAGTCACTGCTGGTGGTGGTCGATTCAAAACTTCTTCGAAGTGCTCCACCCATCGTGTCCTCTGGTCTGCATCGCTTGTGGCGGTTCTTCCGTTCTTGTCCTTGACTGGCTTGCTTGGGTTGAAGTTCTTTCCTGACAAGGCACGTGTTATTTCGTATAGGTTTTAGCATACACGAGACTAGAAACCAGAGAATCTCTGATGTAAATAGCGACTCCACCCCCCTCCCTTTTTTTGATGATCACAGCAATAGATGTTAAGTCCACTGATTACCAGGTCATTATTCAGTACAGATTTGTTGAGCCATGTTTCAGAGATGAAGATTACATGTGCCCCAGAAGAACTGACCAGAATTTTCAAGGCATCAAGTTTTCTCAGAAACAAGTTTCCAGAAACGTGCGTGTACATGCAGAAAATGAAGTGATGACATGTTTTTAAAATCATTTGGTGTGCTGTAATTAGTGGGGGGTCTAGGGTTGGGCTGAATCCCTGAGAGCAGTAACAGCATTATTATCAGACATTTTCTTGAGTTTTTTGTGACTGATGTGTAATTACAGGAGTTAACAGTGTGACAATTAGCCCCCATAATCGAACCATGAGAAACATTAATGAAGACGCGATCATTCAGAACCCAAAAACAGTGAAAGTTGCAGTGATGAGCAGATCCAGGTGTATTAACAAGATTCAGTGACTCCAGATAGTCTGAGACCTGAAAATAATGACAATAATATAAATGGTGCAGAAAAGTCTCAGACCATAAAGCATCACAAATCAAATGGGCAAACAAATCTGAGGTGGCCCAACTGCAGTTTGAGTTGGGCTGAGGGGGGCTCCAGCCCCCCTGCAAAGATGGATGGATGCTCCCATGACAAACAAAAGCAGGGTCCAGAATTAACCGGCAGAAACAGATGATTTGCAACAAAGAGCAGAGCAAGCTGCCAGAAAGCGAGCTGTCAGAAAATCCTCCTGAAATGAAAGGCATGGTCCTAGCTTATTGCAGGTCAACAGGGGACAACAGCGTGATCCGGAAAAAAAATTATTTATTATCCAGATGAGTTTGAATGGAAGTCTGCAGCAACTTGGATGCAAACTCCGGACTTTTCTCAAGCACCACACAGTGCTGCTCCTCTGCACATCACCCTGCTCGTCTGCTTCTCCGCACCCCACAACACGAGAGGCCACCGCCAGCAAAAAACTACGAGACTGACCTGAGAGGCTGAAGTCGTCACTGGTCCGGTTCTGTTCCAGTCCGGCTCCGGCGCTCCATAGCACGAGAGGCTACCTGACGAACAAGGATGAGAGTGACCGAAGAGGCTGAAGTCGTCCCTGGCCCAGTTCTGCTCCGGTCTGGTTCCGGCGGCACTTCAAAGCATCAGAGCATCTCCTCGAGGCGAGCACAGCGATTTCCACTGAGGTGGACAGTCCTTCGTTTAAAGGTAACGGGCTGCTCACTGAGGCTGAGACCGGCTCTATTCAGGACGAAGTCCCCCACAGCCAACTCAGTTCGGTTCTGGTCCTATTCGGGGACACAGGTACACTTCCCCCACACCGAATGAAGACAGAGGGGCCAATCCAACAGAAAGCCAGCGAAAAAGCCAGCAAAATATTACCCGGCGATTCTTGTCGCAACCAGGTAGAACCACAAAGGTCCAGATGAGAATTTCGGTTTGGGTCCAGAGCAAGAGGAAAAAAAACACCGGATCTTTGTGCGACGACTTCCCAGCTCGGAGGATCACCTGGCCGGCTGGGTGTACTCAGAGTGATCTGTGGGGTGGGAGCAGCCGGTCCTGGACCGAAATTTTTTTTTGGACGGTTCCATCCAGCTCTCTGAGTCACTGAACACCAAATTCACTTGGAAGGGGACCAACTTTAGTCCAGCTCAAAAAACGGGTCAGTTTGATGATAAAAGACTACAGAGAAGCCGTGAGGAGCTGCCTTTCATCAGCTTACCGGAACCGTAACTTGAGGTAATTGAGGTAGTTTTTGTGTTTGCACCCTCCAGGTAAACGCTCACATGTGTCTCTGTCGGAGCATCTAAAGAAGGTGGAGGACGAGTGCAGACAGAAGGAGGAGGAGCAGGTGAACCTGGAGCTGGAGCTGACGGAGGTGAACGAGAGTCTGAAGAAAGCCCTGAGTGGAGGGGTTACTCTGGGCCTCACCATCGAACCCAAACTTGGTTCCTCCAGTCTTCAGGTCAGAACTCCTGCCTCATTAGTGCACCCTACCCCTAACCCTTGATAATTTTTCCATTCCGAATAAACACTGTGAACATTGTCACAAGGCTGATATGATTTGTTTCCTTCTGGTGTTTGTAGTCTCCAGCAATGATGCGGCGAACACAGGAATCCTCTCCATTCTCCAGCTGTGACACCAGTGATGCAGAGTCCTGCTCCCTGCCAGTCAACAGTGCTTCACTGCTCCGCCACCAGAAGAGTGGCCAGAAACTCTCACCAATCCGAGGACATGTTCTCAAGAAGGCCAAGGTCAGCGTTCATGCTGAAGATAAAGGCTACTACTGGTCTTAGCTCTAGTTTAGAACCGCTTGAGGCGTTAAGTTCAGAACATGACAGAAAATGACCCATGGGGGGTAAAACTCCATTCTTTGAGTGTTCCAGAAGCACTGCAGTGTTCCTCTGAAACTGAACAAGACAAGAGCTGACAGGTCAAACATTTAGTCCTGTCCAAATCCTTCTTTAAAGACAGAGTTCCTTTTCAGTATCACATTAGTGCAGGTCTGTTCTGACCATCAACCCAAAATCTAAACAACCTTGTAGGGATGTCCCAGTTGAGTGTTTTTTGTCCTTGATAGCCATTTAGGATGCAGTATGAACCATTACTGAGTCTCAGACCCTTTTTAGACATGACCCATCTCTGGTTACTGTTTTTCTGTTTTGATTGTAGAAAAGGTTACTTATTCATGAGGTAATACTGTGCTCATTGAATCCGCTGTAGTTTCTATGCCAGATCTCTAGCCGGCACTGTGGTTTTATAGTTCTTCAAGATACACATGCACGCACACACTTCAGTCTAGATCATGAAAACAGTTACAATTAAAATGGTGAATACACTAACGTTTACGTTAACGTTTCACTGAACAGTCTATTCCCTGGAAATCACAGGAAGAGGGGATGACCTTTGCATATTTTGTATATGAGCCCAAGTATCTTCAACCTAACATGCAGAACTTCTCAACACATAGTGGTGCCTCAGCCTGCCAGCCAGCACATCCAGATGGCATAACTCCCATCAACATATTAATACTGGTGCCTATGGTAAAATTCCAGGGGTTTCATAAGCTCATATTCGTTAAATAAGTCACCCAGGGGAAAATGTCCAGATATTTAGTGCCATCCCCATAATTATGTGGCTGCACTTGCAGTGTTTCTGCTGAAAAAATAGAAAGGGTATCATTCAATGATGCTGGCTATGGTTGTAGAATTGGGCTGGTTGTTGTGGCGTATGATATTAATGAACATGCATAACAATTGCTCAAATTCACTTCTTGATGTCTGCATTGCTGTCACGAACTATAGATTATCCTCCTCATCTGGATGATCAGTCATGCACCTCTTACTCAGCATGTGGCTGCTTTATCTCTTGAGTTAATAGACGTGAGGTGTAACAGTAGAATCAACATCACGGTAATCACATTTACAACAGTACATGTAAAAACTCACATTTTTGAAACTTTTTCCTCCTTTGCCCTAGGGATGGGGCGGATCCGGTATCATACCGTGCTCCGATACCAGCATAATTTACGTATCGGAGATCCAACCTGCAGAGATTTCTGACTGAAATCAGGCTGCCTGCTTTGGACTGAACGATAAAAACATAACGCTGAAGCCCCAGAGCTCGAATGTTTACCGAGAAGTTGCTAAACTTTATCATAATTAATGACCAACCACTGTCAGTTGTAGAAAACGAAGGATTTTGCAGCTTGATACTTGAAGCCAAGATATAGTTTACCCTCCAGGAGATATTTGTCAGAACAACTGTAGAAAAGCATATGAATTGAAAATTACAAGAAAATTAAATTTAAAAGAAAAAAATCAAATAAAAACAAACAAAACAGCTACATGTTACAAGCAATGTAAAATACTAAAAACAGGAACATGTCTGTGTTGGTTTATGCCATGAATTTAGCAGATGTTTAAAGCCATTTCAATTTTTGTATTCATTTATTCATTCATTTAAATAAACAAAATAAACAAAACAAATTCATCAAAAAGAAAAAAAAATTTGAATGAAAAGAGTACAGAAAGAAGAAAAAAATTATATCTGCCCCTTATTTAAAAAATAAAATAACCTTAAACAATTACTTTAATTAATGACTTTAATATCCACTTTAAAGCTAGGAATAAAAAGAAACATGTTTTGTGTTAGCAGTATTTAATTCTAACTTTAAAACTTATCCAACATTGATAAAACTTACCTGAAGTTGCCTTTTTGGACATGCATGCATATATTTGTACAAATTGTACTTGAGAGGAGATTATTACAGCCTCATATAAAATCAATGATGATGATGATATCGGAAAGTATCAGTATCGGCCGATATCCAGATTTAGGTATCGGGATCGGATCGGAAGTAAAAAAAAAAAAAAAAGTGGATCGTGCAGCCCTACTTTGCCCCCGACTCTCTGGAAGTGGTGGCATGGTCTCACTCTACTGCTCAAGAAACCGAAGGTCTCCTAATAACTCACAGGTTTCTGATTTCTTCACCAATTTGAGATGACGACCCCTATTGGAAATTGCCCTCTTTGTATCTGGACTTTACCCCAGTGAGCCGTTGAGAACTAATCCACCTTTTTGCAGTGAGAGAGATTGATCCAGGTGACCCTCTCAGTAGGGGTGCAGAAAAAAATGGATTCATTAAAGAATCTAGATTCCTAGCCCTGGCAATTCTGAATCTATTCTAAAGGCCCATAAATTGATTTTCAAATGCATTTAAGTTTTTTTTTTTTTTTTTTTTTTTTTCCATTCCTACTCCCGAGTGTACTGCGTGTCACATTATGTGTCCACTCGTTCACAGTAAAATATGGCCTTGTAGGCCACCGTACAGCAAACTAGTTAGCCAGCTCCCTTTATCTGAATGGAGTCCGCTAGCATGGAGCAGAAGGGCAGTGCGATTCAACCTGCTCCTTCTTCATTAAAAGTCAGTGTATGGGCACATTTCGGATCCTACAATGTTCCGGGGAAGACAGAGCTTGACAAGAGTACGGCTGTTTTCAAGAAGTGTAAAATAAAATTGCAGTACAGTATTTTGGAAATACAACAAATGCGCGAAAGGAAGATGAAAGCGAAGCAGCCGACCAGCGAACTCTGGAGCAACAAACTTCCAGCTAATTCCCCAAGGGCTGTTAATCTTCCCCTCTCCATCTCCTGCTATATCACAAAGGATTTATGAGCAGACAGCTCAGTGGAAGGTGAGAGGTTCAGGTTTATTTTTAATACCCTTGACCCAAGATACGTTATTCCTTCATGTAGCTTTTTTTATCGATAAAGCAGCACCACAACTCCACCATGAAACAAAGAATAAAATGGGAAAAGCTGTGATTAAGGCTATCAGCTGCAGCTCAAAGGGTAAATGTTTTTTTCCTTATATTATACAAAAACTTATTATATCAAAAACTTAATGTAACTGGTTCTTTTAAACAGGTTGAAGAGATCAGATGAGACACATCTCCTGGAGCCAGTTCTAAATGATACAATTTATGGTTTATAAATGATAGTTCAGAAGAGGTTTTTGTGCAGGTTTGCACAGGTTTTGAAATTTTGTTAAAAATTTACTAAATATGAATCAATATGGTTAAGACTGAAGTCTGTATATTTCATCTTAGGTTAAGTTTTGAAAATATAACAAATGTTAGAGCAATATGGTTAAAAAAACTGAAGTCTGTATTTTATTTTGAGTTAAAGGTTAATGTAGTATGGTAGGCTGAAGTCTTTGTTTATTGTATTTATATATTTTGAATTATTTGTCTGTGATGGACTGGAGACCTGTCCAGGGTGTCCTCCATCTCTCGCACAGTGATGGCTGATATGGGCACCAGTGACCACTGCAACCCGAAAAGGAAGAAGTGGGTAAAGATAATGGATGATGGATGGATGAATTATTTGTTCCTAGATTTTTATTTTATTTTAGAAAAATCCAGGAAGCTAACCTAATGTAATACTGGTAATTTAAGTTACAGAATTTTATTCACTCCAGTCCAACATTTTTCAGTGAGGTCATCTGGACAGTTTCTTTTTTTGTGCTGAAACGTTTCACCTTCCATCCAGAAGGCTTCATCAGTCAAGGAAACACACAGCACAAAACTGATTCTTCCCCCAACAGCTTAGTCCAAAGTGGAACAAACCAGTTTTGTTGGTGCTAAGATGGTGTCTTTGGCACGCCACCCCCTCCTCCAGTGCCAGCCCTCTCCCTCGTCGACAGTCATGTCAAACTGGTTCAAAACCAACCATCTTAGCAACAACATATCTGGTTTGTTCCACTTTGGAGTAAGCTGTTGGGGGAAGAATCAGTTTTGTGTTGTGTGTTTCCTTGACTGATGAAGCCTTCTGGATGGAAGGTGAAACATTTCAGCACAAAAAAAAAGGAACTGTGCAGATGACCTGACTGAAAAATGTTGGATTGTATACCTGGATTATTGAGCATGGACTTTGTTGATTCACTCCAATATTTGTTCCTATTTTTGGTATAAATATAAAATGGTGCAAAAAGATTTCATACAGTAAGGAACCTAAAATTATGGTTTTAAATAATAATTAATAGTACTAGGATTGTTTACATTGTTGTTTGATCTTTTCATCGTGTCAATTAAATAATTTAAACAAAATTTATGACCATTTCAATTAAAAAAATTGTTTCTGAATTGAAAATTGTTTCTCAATCGAATCGTGACACCAAAAATCGGAATCGAACCACCAGACACTGATATTCGCACCCCTACCTTTCAGCAATCTTTACTGCAATGGGTGTGGTTAGCAGCACCTGGAATGGTCCGTCCCACCTCAGAGAATGCCAGTGCTTTCTCTTGATGACCTTCACCAGGACCCAGTTAGTGTGTTACAACCTGGGGATAATTTTATTGCAACCATTGCAATAAAAGTATCCATTTTTGCACTTTATTTACTAATTACGATGTTTAACTAAACTCAGACTCTCTCACTGGTACATTTTCATCTTTAAATCACTTCTTGGTCTGCTGCCTTCATGCATCTCCTACATGTCTCTGCATGAGTGCAGCTACAGCGTGCGCTCTCAGGACATTATTACCTGCAGTGTTCCTTCAGTGAGGATTGAACTAGACAAAAGGACCTTCTCCTACTCTGCTCCTGTTTCCTGGAATATCTTACAAAGGATCTGAAGCTCTCGACCTTGGCCTCTCTAAGTGGCTTCAAACATCTGTTAAGTTCATGACAAAAACCACCGCAGGCATGTTCCTGGTTTTAGTTTTGTACACCTCCTTATAATCTAGCTGGGTTTTTTTTTGTTGTTTGTTTGTTTTTAAATACCATTTTCTTTCATTTGTTCTTCTGAATTTGTATGCTTTTTATGATTTTCTACTGTTGTCGTCACTCTTTCTGAAACTCAGGTCTCTGTTGTAAATGAGTCCCCGAGGCTCTATGGAACTAACCCTGCATAAATAAAAGTTGAATGAAAAAACTCTCAGGCTTATTAATAATAAAGTTATGACCAAATATGGCTGCCTTGAACGAATAAAACATATTGGATATGTAATGTGAAAATAATTACATGCAGTAAACACTCATTTTAAACATAACAGCCACTTACGAGCTTCCTAATATCACATGAGCTGCTCCTTCAAGTAAGGATTTCCACTTCTACCCTTAAAAAAATCTCGGCCCATAAAATTTCAGTCATGTGCAATTTAATTAAAAACACAAAAATATAATTAATGGCACAACTTGATTGCAAATCGGTTCAATAATTGAAGTGGGTCATTAATAAAATTTTGATTATTAAATATACAACGAGAAAGATGTTTGATCAATCACGTTATGTACGTCATGTATCAAAACAACGGCACCATTTTGTCAAAATAACAGCGATCAAAATGCTGAAAAGACTGTACGATTTACTTTCATTTTTTTTTTTTTTAATATCTTCTCGTTGTACAACCAAACAACTGAGAATTGAAACCCATAAGGTCAGTGGCAATGGAGATGGTACTGGGGCAGGTGGAGTGGTGTGGGGAAGTGCCGAGCTAACCAGGCAGTCGTACCCAGGCAGGAGCCCACGGCAGCCGCCATGAACAGCCTGAGGAGGAGCCTGGGGTTTAGGTAAAAATAGATGTTTAACAACCTGTGAAAATACACCAGAATGCAGGAAATGGCATCTACTTTATTCAAAATCTACACTCCCGATCACTATTTGCATTCTGGCTCTGTGCGTTTGTTTAATTTCACTGTTAAATGTTGAAATTTCATGTTGTACTTGAATGTAAGAGACTGAGTGAGCCACAGGGCATGCTGGGTAATCATGGGACAGAAATAGGTGGACTTTTCCATGCTCTGTGTTCAGATGGGTTGTCTGTTTCTGTTTAGTGGTGTTAGTGACACCATGAGTCAGCTGTTGTACTTGATAAATAAAGAGAAAACGTACTGACTGCAAGTTACTGAATTTACTTAAACTTAAAAATAAAGTGATGTAATCTGACAACGATTCAATAGAGGTCTTTGATGTTAGTACATGGGATGTGACAATTTTACATCCTAACTAAAGGCCTAGTTCTTAAAGGCATGGTTCTTAAAGGAATGGTTCTTAAAGGAATGGTTCTTAAAGGAATGGTTCGCTACTGCTGGACTCCAATCTGATACTTGGATTGACTCGGGGCATCCCTACATTTCTTTAAATAAAAAGAATTCAAACTGTGGCGACTCATAAGCTGTACCATCTCTGTTTGTGTCTTGCAGGAATGGGAGGAGAAGACTGGCACATGAACAACCCCCCCCCCCCCCCCCCCCACCACCACCACCACCATCATTCTTTTTTTAATTCAACCTTTATTACTTTCACTCCCTTTTCTGCTGCAGAAACTGTAGATATTTATTTAAAACTGGTCATCGAGCCAGTGTGTGCTGAAGAGGACACAAGCATACTGTTGACATGAGCCAAAACAAGAAGTATACCTGGTAAACTCTGATGCATGTTAGTTAAGTTAACTCGAGCAGTCACCTCACTTATTTTATCATTTCCAGCAGGTTTAAAAGGCAGAATCAAGTATTTATTTGTAAATTTTATAGGACATACTGACTTCCCTTGTTATTTATGCTGATTTGTTTAGAATATTTGTGGCTCTTTTTTACAGAAATACTGGTGATCAGTCACAAAATGGCCGCCTTCACAATTACAATAAGGGAAACATTCACCAGCTGAATAGTACAGGATCCTAAGAGGCGGTTTAAACAAGCAGAATTACTTTAGATCACATACAGTGACAGATGATATTTTCAAAGTAAAACATTTTCATGGCTTCTCATTTTGCTTCAAAACCAGGCGATCTTTGTTTACTGCAAACTTCTTATAACAGTTGTGCAACTTTGAAGCTTTGAAACAAAAATTAGTTTGAATTTTTCAGTAATCGTATTATTTTAATGCAGAAAGAGCAACAGAGAATGTCCAGTGAGACCATCAAGTTCTTGTTGAGGAATCTGCAGCCAAGAAAACAGGCCAGATATCTGATTAAAGTTAATATTTTTGCTGAAAATGGTCCTTGGTTTTCAAAAACGTTTTTAATTCTTTTGCACAACTGTAAGAACAAATGACCCCACACAGTCCTCTACTGTGAACTGTTTTAGGACATCAGTTCAGGCACCTCATTTTAGTAAGATTTTAAAATAAACCTGCTTATATTATGTTAAATTTTCCAGTTTTTATATGCCCATCGAAGGAAGGATGTATAATTATGGGAGAAAGAGAAGCAGGTTAGAGTTGGGAATGAGCAAGTAAATCCATCATGATTGTGTGTTTATGCACCTTGTACTTTTTTTATCTTGTATATCTTAGACATTCTCCAACTCGGGGATGTACAGACTTGTAAATAAATGAATAAACGTTCTGATCATCAGTGGGGACTTTATGTTTTATTTATTTTTATGTGATAAAAGTGATCAAGTGCTAAGAAACTGTCTGACTATATGCTACTATCCAGAATTCATACTCCTGTGAAAGACACAATTCTGGCCCAAGTGCTTGAAAATTATATATATTCATTGGGAATTTATCTTTATACAAATATGGGATTGGATGGATGGATGGATGGATACTTTTATTAGATAGGCGCACATTAAAATATCCACACCACATTACATTCAACATCCCAGTATTTAACTGTAGATGGATTATAATTATTATTTCATCCCTACCTGTCCATATTTTGATAGTAATATATTAATGTTGTTTTCCTATATTGACTACATTGTAGCATATATTATTTTGAATAAATGTCATTATTCCTCCACCCCTTCCATTATGTCTTATCTCTCCTGATTGCAGTATATGTAACTGGTTTAACCAGGTTTCTTGAAAACAAATAACATGAGGTTTATCTTGTCGTTCTGATATGAAATGTTTAAAATCTTGTCCATTCGAGATGAGACTTGTAGCGTTCCACTGAAATATGCTTATGACCATGTAGAAGTACCATCTTCTGACTGAGTTGGTGTTACTCCCTGACCTCTCATATTTTCTACAGCTTCTCAACCAAGATCTTTCACATCCAGGTACTTGTCTGCAGCCCTCACTATCATTTTAATATTTTCAGTTTTCTTTACTGTCCGAGCTGAACAATCGATCACTTCCACCATGAGCAGCACAAAATCCTTTTTGTTCACTATCATTGAGTCATTAGCGATTTTAGAGCATCCATCACATGCCTTTGGTTTTACATTTGGTGTTACTGCTGGTTTAGGTCTCCCTGGTTGATTTGGGATTTTTTTTTTTTTTGCAGCTTCAGCATAATCCCAAGTAATCCCTTGTACTAGCTCACTTTTTGGATTTCCTCTGCTCTTTTATGAACTTCACATCCACAATAAGCAGCAGTGTGTTCTCCACAGTTACATTGAATTTTTGCTTCTCTCACATTTCCCATATTCATGTTCACCAGCACACCTTCCCCATCTTTCTGTATTTCTTGTTGTTTTCAACCATTTAATTTCTTTCACTTTTGCTCCGCGTATATTTTCTTGAATTTCTTGAAAGGGACTCCACTTATGACTCCTCTGCTCATTTTGTTGTTTTCAACTGGACTGCTCTGAAATTTCTTCCCATCTATCTTGTTGACCCAAATTGCTTTTCCTTGTTGAAAGCCGTCTCTGTAGTGAACAAAAAGAGCACCACTTAGTAAAACCTTTGCACTTGGGACGTCAACTATTACTTTATTTATTGTTTTGGTTAAATTAATTGGATTCCACTCTCCAAAAAACTCTCCATCTTGATTTAGCTTGATAATGACTTTATATTCATTATTTTGTTTCTCAGTTACATCATTTTCTTCATCAATTTTTGGATTCAAATAGTCTTCCACTGATCTCTGCTTTTTCCACTTTCTCCTATTTTTTAATAATAATAATAATAATACATTTTATTTCAGAGTGCCTTTCAAAAACCCAAGGTCACCTTAAAAATAAAATAACAATAAAAACAGATTCAACAATCAATTATCTATAACCAGTCATGATATGACAGCACTTAAGATCAAGTTAAAGAGAATATGCTGGTGGAACAGATGTTTTCAGCTGTGATTTAAAAGAGGGAAGAGAGTCTATGTTCCTGATGACAGGAGGGAGTTCCAGAGCCGAGGAGCTCAGCGAATGAACGCTCTGTTGCCCATGGTGACAAGATGGGCAGAAGGAACAATAAGATGAGTGGCAGACGAGAATCTGAGGGAAGCAGCGGGGATGTGAAGCAGATCACACAAATAAGGAGGGGCAAAGTTATGGATACACTTGAACGTGAGAGTTAAAATTTTTTAATTTATTCTAGCTTCTATGGGTAACCAGTGAAGCTGTTGCAGAACCGGGGTGATGTGTTCTCTGGATGGGGTGCAAGTTATGACCCGAGCTGCAGAGGTCTAATGGAGTTTAAGTTTAAGAAGAGACTTATTCGTGAGACCAAAAAGAAGAGAGTTGCAATAATGGATCCAGGAGGTGATAACGCTATGGACAAGGATGGCAGCAGCATGAGGAGTAAGACAGGACATAGTCATAGTCTGTTGCTGTAGGTCGCAGCCTCAGCCTGACACTGTAGTTTTTTCTTAGCTTTCATTTGTTTTTTCATTGTAATTTTGGAGTAGTGGGACCAGTTGTCCTGTTCTTGCTTCTTCCTTTTGCCAGTGTAGTAAGTGGTTTTTTTTTTCCTTCTGGTACCAGCAGTGGCTTTGATGGCCCTGTATAGGGTTGGCCCCCTGTTGTACCATTTTGTTCTTTTTGACCGGCTCATCAGGTCCATCTTTCTGTTGAACACTTCGGGATTTTTGTTTTTGGTTGGACACAGAAAGTGAGGGTCCCTAATCAAAGCCTTGGAGACTCATTTACTAACCCTAACTTTTAAAAGGGAGTTTTTCCTTTCCACTGTTGCCACTGTGCTTGCCCAGGATGGGAGACTGACCAAGTGAAGAGTCAATGAGTCTGCTGGATTCTTTAAATAAAGAACTTTACTACTTGGCTTTTATGTGTATATGAATGTAAATATATACAGTGTATCTCATGTAAAGTGCCATGAGACAATTTTGTTGTGAAGTACTATATAAATAAACTGAACTGAATTGAAACCATATTGATGCTCATACAAAATATTGTTGGCATCAAGAAGCTTCAAAATTCTATCATACACCAATCTCTTAAGTATCTTGAAAAAGCATGGGAGAACTGATGTCAGAGTTACTTTATTTGTCATTCGCATCACATGTGGTACATGTAGTGAAACGAAATTGTGTGCAGGGTCTCAGTTACATCAAATTATAGCAAAAGTATAAAGTGCTAAAAGAAATGGTAAATAAGGATCTAAGATATAAACTAAGACATACGCTAAACGAACGTCAAACAGTACGCTAAAAGATCTAAGATATATTTGCCAGTCACTAATAGTCCAAAACAATACACAGAGCAGCAGCACATTTCTCACAGGTTCTGTTCAACTATAATTTACACGCTTAATGCGAGCACTAACATAAACTAAACTATCATAAACTAGGATTTACTCAAAGCATGCAACAAAATACAGAAACAAGGCGCCTAAAGTGAAAAATAAATAAATCTACAGCAGCATGGTCCTATCGGCAGAGTGGTTCTGGTGACAGGGAGGTTATCTTAGCAGCATGGTCCATTAGCAGCATGGTCCATTAGCAGCATGGTCCAGTTAGCAGCATGGTACTGTTAGCATCATGGTCCTGTTAGCAGCATGGTCCAGTTAGCAGCATGGTACTGTTAGCAGCATGGTCCTGTTAGCAGCATGGTCCAGTTAGCAGCATGGTCCTGTTAGCAGCATGGTCCAGTTAGCAGCATAGTCAAGTTAGCAGCATGGTCAAGTTAGCAGCATGGTACTGTTAGCAGCATGGTCCAGTTAGCAGCACGGTCCAGTTAGCAGCACGGTACTGTTAGCAGCACGGTACTGTTAGCAGCACGGTACAGTTAGCAGCACGGTACTGTTAGCAGCATGGTACTGTTAGCAGCATGATAGTGTTAGCAGCATGGTCCTGTTAGCAGCATGGTACTGTTAGCAGCATGGTCCTGTTAGCGGCATGGTCCTGTTAGCAGCATGGTCCTGTTAGCAGCATGGTCCTGTTAGCGGCATGGTCCAGTTAGCAGCACGGTACTGTTAGAAGCATGGTCCAGTTAGCAGCATGGTACTGTTAGCAGCACAGTACTGTTAGCAGCACGGTACTGTTAGCAGCATGGTCCTGTTAGCAGCATGGTCC